TTCAGAAGGCACCCGCCCTGCTCAGCTGACCTCTCCGTCTCCCAGCAGGCCACCCCGTCTCAAAGGTGCCGTGTGTGAGCTGAGTGCTGGGATGTGATTTGATGTGGTGAGCTGGGCTGTGGAAGCCCAGGGAAGCAGCTCTCCACTCCAATCTTCACAAGTCGTTTTTTAAGTTTTTGAGTAGCGTGAGTAACGTGACCTGTCATTTACATCTTTAAAATAGCACTCTTAAGGATGTTTCCAGCTGAGAGGGCCAAACAAGCGGGACTTTCTTCTGAAGTTATTAAGGGACTGTGTGTGTGTTCAGGCAGTTTTTTCCTTACCCAATGTGTGCTATTTCAAAACCCTTGACCAGTGAAAATACTGATGGAACAATAATAAAAATCCTCCAGGTGACACAATGAACATATTGTGTGATGTGCATTTAATACAACCTTTAGATTAGGGAATATAGGAGCTGGGTTGAAGGGGTTTATGGGGGGAAAATGGACTGTAGTTTGGAAACAGATGTATTTGTAAAGATAACAGGATGAGTCAAAAGTAAGACGTTTAGAAACAGGAAGGTAGGATTCTTTAGCTTTTCTATGCACCACATTCTACATTTTCATTTAGGTCTTTATTTGAGCTATTATTCTCTGCTACTTACAGGATCAACATTAGATTAACCTTAAATGTGTGGGTTGCCAACGTAGCATTTAATAATTGGAATATGAATATGTACCGTGCCACTTCATTTTGCCCCTGGAATAATAAAGTATGATTTAGAAGTGATATGAACCAGAGTAAAAAGGCAGCAGTTCCCCCATATCTCCTGAATAATATACAATCACATTATACTGTGTATGCTATGGAATATTTAAACTTTTGAGGTTTGCAAATGAGAAGCATTAAAAATAGCATTATTAGAAGTCATCAGTTCCTGCCAGGCTAGTAGAGACAGACATTGAAATGTGACCCTGGTGCGGCAAGTACTTTTGAAATCCCAGTTGCATAGCAACGCATCTCCATCTGCAGTTAAGCTTCCCTCTGCCAAAGAAACAACTGTCATTTTTGCTTTACAGGCAGTTTTATACGCTCAACTTTTCCAGAGAAAAATATAAACACTATTCTGTTTGAAGAGTATGAGCCTATTTTTCTACATACTTAAAAGGATTTATGCCATTTTCACACCCCTTTATACTGCAGCTATAGTCTAACAGCAAATATTTTGAGTAAGTAACAACCACGGATTCCGTACAGTCCGTGGCAAATTTGTTTAAATAAAGGCCTTGTAACTTGCAAAAACGCCTCCCAAAAGAATCCCAAATTAAGCTAGAACGAGGAGAATAACAAACATGTAAAATGACATAGTTGACTCAACATTCCTTATAGTGTTAAACTAATTAATTATGCACTGCAAGTCAATAGCCAGCTCATAGCTGTATGCTCACCTTCCCAGCAATGAAATGGGCTTTTGACTCTTGTTTAATGAATGAAATCCTATTTTACTTCAGAACTCGTGAAGTATTCATCACACAGACTGCAGTTTATTAGATGGTGTGTTTTAATATCCTCAATATAAATACACACATGAATCATGTATCCATGCACATTTGCGACGGGCATATACACGTACAGTATGTGTCCACAGATAGGTGCACAAAAAGACACATAAATGTATTTACACCAAAAAGAGAGTAACAGCTGCACGCCTACTACTAATTTAATGTAACAATTAGGAGATCGTTAGAAGATCACTGCAAGTCTCAAGACAGTTTGCTTCATCCATTAGGAGTCTCATAATGGTTCAATAAAATTTGTGAATTGTAGTTGCTGTGCAAGCTTGTACCTTAATTTAAATTACATCTGTGTGTATCTGTGCTCCTCTGTGCCACAGAGTACAGGTCTGAAAAAGACTTTGACTTTGAGCTATCGATCAACAGCTGTATCAGAAATAGCATCATTGTCGGTATGTTCTTTATTCAGTTTTTACCAAAAGTTTAAAGTTATGAGTAATCTGTTGGAAGAAAATCATCGGCCCGGCCAAAGCAAGGCACTGAGCTCCCATCAGGTTTATCAACTTTATGTTTTCTGGACACAAACATCTTTTCCTTTTGGCAGATCATTTTCAAACTGAATGATTGCCAGATGTGATTTTGTGTAAGTATAAACACACGGTCAGATGGGAGGCTGATTAATTAAAGGGAAATAGGTACTTATTTGTAGAAAAGGTCATTTATTAGCATGCAAATTGTAAACTCTGTGGACTCGACCAGGGCCTTTTTTTTCAAATAAAATCATAACCAAAACATTAATACAGACAATACACTTTGTCCAACTTAAACCCGGACAATTTAACTCAAACTGAGCCACACATTTCTATGAAATTCCAATTAAAATTGTGGTGTAAATACGTTGTAAATAGACATTTAAAGTCTTCTGAGATAAGCCATCTTTAATTGCTAAATCTGATAGCTATTTCCAACAGGTAAGATGAATTCAAATATTTAATAAATAATCATTTTAACAATGATTGTTTGCTCTCGTCACTGAGAGTAAAATAATCATCATATCACCATGTAACTCATAGTTGTGGCTAAATAAGTTCATGGGTTGTTGCAGAGGAATTTCCACATGCACAGACCCACAAAAAATGCACACACACTCGCATACACACCTCTGTTTGTACATGCACCAGGTAGAGATGTCCAATTCCACATTCTTAGGATCCACTTTGGCTTCCTCCTGTGTGTCACACCTGAGAGCACGGTGCATTTATCTTGACACACCTTGACACTTTTCCCCCCAGTGCTCATCAGTTTGCCGGCCACGCCTGGGTGATCATCTAGTTCGCGGAACACTGTACTTCTGTAGCTGCACTTTTTGTATTTTAGCTGACAAACTGCAAGGCTCTGTGTTGCTCGCTCCATTGAGTCTGTTGTTGAGTTTAGTCTCAGAGGTTTCACTGAGCAAAAATCTCTTTAAAGATGTTTAAGAGCCCACGGTTTGCCCTTTCTTACAGTAGTACTAAGCAGATGCCACTGTATTGTCAGCAAAGCAAAAAATGAACAAGGGGTTTTCTCGGTGAGGGTTGGTGTGGGGGCACATCAGCAAACTAAAAGCTTCGCAGTTCAAAATGTGCACAAAGCAAAGCAGGGAAAACAACAACCTACTGTAGAGTGAAAGACGGACAATAGACAGCTAATCTGTACTTTGATATTTTTACCATTCTATCAAGTTTACACTTGGAAAGCGTGTTTTTATAGGTGCAATCAGTCAATAGATTGCAATAAAGAGGATTAAACACATAAGAGGCAATGTAGTACATGATCATCAGTCCGTCCTTAGTTGATGATACAACTTTATTACAAAGAAACCGGCTAGTTACCAATATCACAAGAGTAGTGCTTGAGTTCTTTCTCCAGTTATTGAATCGATGCGTTTGTTTGTACTTTATTATTTCTCAGTATTGTCATAAAACGTAAAAATTTGGCCCAGTTTTATCCTTTGGCCGCATTTACGGCTCTACCCTTGGTTGCAAGCACTGTGGAGAACTTCACAGACCGCTAACACTATGAAAAGTTACATGAACAGAGTTGTTGCTCATCTTTTAGGTCATTGTGGTCATTTTCATCAGACGACATGGCATGGTAGTTTCCCTTTAATCTTCAACGTGTCTCATTCTGTGGAGGGAACAGAACACTGCAGATATGAAGGGACACATTTTTGCTTTTATCCTGGGATACTGTAGGTCCTGAGGACTGCAAGAGGGCACAATCCATTTTTATTGTTTTGCTACTTGGATTGAATTACATTATAATTCCTTGGGTGAGACCCAGCTTCAAGTATGCCACTTCCCTTTGGAGCCAACGTGAGAGAGCAGGCTTCAGATGTTAATACACGTTATTGCTGAGTGCTGCCTTTTTTGAAGGAGGGGATGGCTGTACACTTGGCTGGAGAACATGGAGTCTATCTATTTTTATCTGGGCCCACAGAAGGGCGTCTGGATGGTGAAACTACAGAGCAAACAAGTTGTTGCAATTACGGGAGCAAGCCATGCAGAAAATCTTTTGACAATAATGCAAATTACAATTCCTCTGAATTTTATTTTTTGAGCCAGATGGGACACCCTGGTGGAGGAATGGAAGGTTGTATGACAAGGCCATAAGGCTCACATCTGGCCATTACAAACAACGTGGGGTGATAGTATGATGGATGGAGTAAGGGAGACACATCAAGGGCATTCTAAGGAACTTGAATCACCATGTAATGTGAAATAAAGGTTCAGTACTTAGTTACTTTATATGACTCAATGTGTGTGGATCAATTACACTAATTACTTGTAATTCAGACTGAAAACAAACATGCAGAAAAAGTTAGTAGGTATACTTCATGTGTGTCACATCTACCTGTCTGTCTGTCTGTCTGTCTGTCTGGTTATCTATCGATCTATTATAGGTTAAGTCATACTTTGTGTGGGCATTAGTCCCAAGAATGGTACAGCAGCGCCCTCAAGTGGACAGTCAATACAATATTGCCCACCCCTAGATGTAACACAGATTATTGTCTCCTGTAAAGTGTCTCAAAAAATGTACAGTGTCAGACGAGTAAATCCTTGTATTTTTAAAACTAATCCTAAAATAAGTGTGTTACACTGTATCAAGGGGTTTGCATGTAAATATTTGGAGTAAACTTTACAAAAAGGCTGCAAGTTGAGAAATCTGAATTTAGCCAACTATCTCCATTGCTTTACGATTTCACATGTAACTTCCCATGACTGGTGGTTGAAGTAGTAATTGAAGGTAAAGGCAGTAATACATCAATCTGTACATAAACAAGCTTTAAAAGGTGGTGTAAAATGTATTGTAATGTAATGATTAATGTCCATGCTGTGCAAATGTAACTACCAGTAATTATTCTGAGTTGTTGTGATTTCTTTTTACATAGTACAGGTAATTGACAGTAATAGGCGCATCCATTCATGTACCGCCTACTTCCGGATACAAACCGCACAACGCATGCGCAAAATTGAATCCCGTGGCGGGGAATCGAGACGACAGCAACGTTTTACTTTCCATTCAGCCGCTGCTGGATAGTTTTACTGGTAAATGTTTTTGTTTTTAATCTGAACTTGAAGATGGTTGAAGGTCCGGGGTGCACGTTAAACGGAGAGAAAATCCGCTCTAAAGTCCAAAAAGGACAGAAATGGAAGGAAACCAGAGGCAGCTTGATAACATCCACCGTAAGTTATGTTATGACGCAATTAGCGCTGGAGTTTGTGCAGTTAGATAATTCTCCAGCTCGTTTTCCGTTAACGTTTTGTTGTCTCCTAACAGAAAAACAACCCTTCTGGAAATGCCTTCCACGGTTTTGTTGGTTGTCCGTACACCGGAGTGGAAACTCTGGGCAAGGAGCTCTTCATGTCCTTTGGTGCAAGAACGTTGAGGTAAAGTAGAGGGCTGTACACTTGCAATTACTACGTGTGCATTACAAAACTCATAGTACCATACTTCTTAGTTTGCCAGAAAAAAAAAAAGATTAGGCTGGTTCGAGATGAATTGTGCCTGGAAGGAGGAAAAGATCTGCAGCAGCAGCAGGGGGGCGGGGACTAAAAGCAGGAAGTCACAGCAATATTTACATCCTGCTAGATCCATCTGTAGGATACCTGTAGTTTGTACACCACAATCAGATTTATTTAAATTTGTTTGTAAAAAAAATATATATATATTTATATATATTGCGCAACATAAGACTAATAGCCTACAATCATACGTTAAATTGCACAGAAAATTAGGATTGAAGACAAATAATTGGGATTTGTTGTCAAAATTAAAAGAGCCAATCGGCGTCTTTCATCAGGCGACAGCCAGGCGTTTCCCATGATGCCCTGGGTCTCTCAGTCGGATGAGAGAAACTGGGGCCATGGCTCTATAAACTGCAGTGGCCTCGATAGCTTGAGGTTATTGTGTGCATGGCGTCGGAGCAAGTCTGGATCAAGACGGACACAAATCTAACCGGCATGCATTGTGTGGCGACGGCTGGGGATCAAATCTGCGCAGGCCTGGCTCATCACGGACAAGCCTGTTTACTGCGCCTTCCAATACCCGTATTACCATACTATCTAGTATACCAGGAAAAGATTAAATATGTCCCAGTACAAATCACAAATCCAGTATGATAAAAATACCATGATGTCTTACTGCATCTGGTCGCCTTTTGCAGTATGCACGCAAGCATGCTTCTCTGGCTACTCTGACCCACAATCCTCTGCACAGCAGGTATATAAGCTATAGTGTCAAAGTGCAACGTAATGCATACTGCATGCAACAGTTCATGTTTTGTAAGGGCAGCTGCAGTGTGTACTAAAAATATAAACTATGCTTTTTAAAACACAGTGACAATCTCTGAGTAGCCTCACTTCTAGCTCAGTCAATGCTACCCGGGGTTTTGGGGTTAATCCAAATACTGTTACACGGTCAGTTTATGTGACCTGATGGACTTTCAGCAGTAGAGTACGTCAAGTCAGTTGAGAAACAACATTTATCTGTTTTTGGCTAATCCATTAAATCAAATGCTCAATAAATCCAGATACTGCTATCATTGATTTGCAATGCAGCCAGAGATATTAAAGGGATAATTCAACTGTACAAAAACAACATTGTATAATCTTTAACATCTGATACACTTGTATTTTCTCACAGTACACACTGTACATGTCTTCATATAATAACCCAACCCAAATTGTAACAATGTATAGAGTTGCACTGTACTTATTTTAATCATGAAATAAAATCAATCAGTTGTCTTTCGAGGATACACAGCTGCACTGAAGTGAGCAAGCAGGTTGAAGTGTTCTTGCTTTGCCTGAGAACCCTTCAGCATTTTGGGGTTTGAGCCTGCGACGTTTCCAGTGTCTCCCACCACCGGGCCTCCTTTCCGTCGTTTTGTTACCAAGCCTTCTCCACAAACTGAGACATGCTATCTGTAAGTGGAATTTGTCATCTTCTTCCCTTCTTTTTCTTTCATGCTCCCATCCTTTAGAGTCCATTTTGGGATGAATGGATCAATGCGTATAAACCCTGCTGAGAGGAAGGATAGGACCAGCTCTGCACCGGTGCTGCAAATACACCTGACTAACGACACGGTGTGCTTCTTTGACAGCACGGTGGAAATAAGGTAACAGGGACACCGGCGTAGCCTGGATAGATTGAGGTGACAGAGGTTCACCTTGGAGTGTGAGTCTCACTCAGTGGGCATGTCCTACATTAGGCTGTGTCTGAAGACGGCGGCTACTGTTGCATGAAAAACACGGCGTCGACATTTGTCCTGTTCATTGACTGTAAGGTCCCGGTGTACTATTCAGCAGCCAGACACACATTTATTTCTGCCGTCTGAAAGTTTAACCTACGCTGTCCTACCTCATAACAAACAAACTGTAACAGAATATATGAAACCGTTTTGAAATGTTTAACCTCCAGAACCTCGTGGCACACGTTTTCTAAGGTCCTCCAGTGTTGTAAAAGTGCGTTACTTGCAGGTTGACAAAGGACTGTGAGCAAAGGGTGAGGGCCTTGGAGAGTCTGGACGTGTGCTCCTCCAAGTTCAGCTTATCCCGCTCCGTGGAGGCGGTGAGGACCCAAAGCAGCAGGATGCTGTGCGACGTTCTCCTCGACCAGGCCGTCATGCCAGGAGTCGGCAACATCATTAAAAACGAAGCCCTGTTTGACTCGGGCCTCCACCCGGCCGTGAAGGTACGGGAAAGCTGATGGATTGTGTTCAGCAGGGGAACAAATAAAAATGCAGGACAACTCTCACAGAAAAAAAAACCCAACCTTTAAGCTCCTGCATGATTGACTGATGCATTGCAATGAGGAGGGTGAAGCAGGGAAAAGAAAAAACAAGCGCATTGCGACACAGATGGGCCTGTTTTGAATTGGGGATTTTATTTCTTGAATGTATATCGTCTTTGTCGAGACTCAAATAGGAACTTTTCCTTCTGACTCTTAACATGTTTTTTTTACAAAACATCACTTTAATATGTATTATTCATGATCTGGAATTCATATCACGTGAAATGAGAAAGATCCAATGCTTCACAATTCTCTTAGGAAATAAGGAATTAAGCAAGCGGAGAAGAAAAGTGTGATTTTTATTTTTATCCATTGCCAGTAAGAGACACTTTGTGCCATGAATGCTGCTACTATGCAGCTATGGTTTGGCTCTGCTCACCTTTAGAAAGTATTAGATGGGGTTTAAAAATATAGCATGCCGGACCTTTGGCCCCTTCTTCTGGGTCCTCTGAATCTTTACGCGCTTCCCCTCCTTCATCAAGCCCCGAGCTGTCCTGAAAAAGCTACAAGTGGTGTAAGTTTGTGTGCTTTTTCTTCTTCACTCTGTGTGAGCCATAGTTAGGTTCTTTGCTGCCTGGCCTTCAAGTCTTAGAAATACATTGTATGTCATTTTTCTTTTCCCGTTGCATCATTTTAAATCCAGTTTTTCTCGTTCGCGTCTGCTGTTTTTATTGTTTATAGCTTGTATTATTGATTTGCTGACTGTGAAGCGCCTTTCATCTCTGCCTTGAAATGAAGAGCTATACAAACGAGGTTTGTTCTCTCTCTGTCGGTGAACCGAAGCTAACTGTGCCGCTTGATTCTTCAGGTCCAACAGTTGACAGACGAGCAGATCCACCACTTGGTGAAGATGACGCGTGATTTCACTCTTCTGTTTTGCAAGGTTAGATGTTTCTACATCAATAGCTGAGGCAGTATTCAAAACAGTGGTATAGCTCTGTATGTGCGTGCACAGTTACTTGCAGGTATTTAGCTGACACCTCATTTAGACTGACTCGCAACAGCAGATTAACTTCAAATCCTGCATTGCAGAGGAAGGAGAGGAAAACCAAAGCCCCACCGCCGAGAGAAAAGATAAAACAAATATTCCTGTCCATGCATAATAGATAAGCAAGGGAAGGTGAATGCTTTTTTTGTTTGCTCTTTATCCTTGTCTTTTTTTATTCACTCTTGTCTGCCTTCCTCATCTCTATCAGTGTCGCAAATCTGGCTCTCCCCTCTACAAACATTACAAAGTCTACAAGCGTCCCCGGTGCGGCCAGTGCTTTCATGTCATCGCAGTGTGTCGTCTCGGAGACAATGGCAGGATGACTTACTTCTGCGAGAGCTGTCAGAAGGGAGATCCCAGCGGGGTCGACGTCAGGTACAAATCCTCAGACATTTGACACTTTGACTGTAGAGGTATAGTGTCTGGCATGCATGCAGGGATTGTTTCACTGGAGTTTGGTCTCGGTGTTGCTCAAAGATATTTGATAACCTGAAGTAAGACAAAAAATGTAATTGTTGTTTGGCTTACATTACATTTAGTGTGTTTACTTTTTTAAATCTTTAAAATAAAAGGTTCCAATAGGATAAAACCTTTTTCCATTCGATTTTCTTAATACATTTTAATAATTTTTGATTCAATACCAAGAAGCGACACGGTGTCATTTTTCCAAATCTAGTCTTTGCAGAAAAGTTCAAAAGCATTTTTAGATAATACGCTCAAATTTAGCGAGGCCATCTTTGCAGGCAGATGGGCTTGGCAGGGAGTGGGAAGTGTTATGGGGGGGGAAATTAATGCGCATATATGGCTGCGTTTGCCAGACAGGGCACAGGCTCAACACCTCCTGGGTTGTATTTGAGCAAAGCTTTGCGAGGGGTTAGAGCCTAAAGCCCTTACAACGCATTACACAGCTGATAAAGCAATCTGTGAGGAAAGTTTCCTGAAAGCCGCTACTGCTTTCCTCCTCCATGACTGTTGGCATTGCAGATTTGCCTTCTTGTCAAACATAGCTGAGCTTCATGTCAGAGCACTAACATGTATGCTCGGAGCAATTATGTGAAACCCGTTGCCTTGTCGCATATCTTCATCCTCTGCTTGATCTGCAAATGTTTGTCAAGTTAAAGTTGCCTCTTCTCTTTGCCTGCGTTTCCTTCAATCGGCTTACAACAATAGTATATGTTTTTTATAGTATATATTTGTATTGCTCTTATTGCAGTTCCTAATAATGAATGCCTGTAATATGAATAATCCATGTATGTTTACACATGCACACATTGTAAGATCATGTTTTCTGTTTTTGTTGTTTTAGAAAGTTGGTGATTCAGTATTTTGTGCTGCTGTGTAATTGAATTGTCATTCTGATTGGTGTTTCAGAAACGTAGCCTACCATCATTGATATAGATGAGGTGGACAAAATATTAGAATAACAAAAAGTAGTCAAAACAATGTGTCTCCCCTCATTGATGGGTACAAGTGTGTGTCCAGTTTTTAGGATGAACAAACACAGCGGCATTATTGCCGCCACAGTGAACACGTTTGACTCATTAGTGCGCCTGTTTTAGCAGGTTTCTAACGGCAGTCCCTCTTGCGTTTCTTCTCTCCAGTAAGCTCCCGGTCAGGAACAGTTTGATTAGCTGGGCCTACAGTGAGAGGACCAATGATAACGTGGCTAAGAGGGAGGAAGAGGACTGGGCCTGTCAGCTCTGCACGCTCATCAACCAGCCAGCAGCAAAAGCCTGTGATGCCTGCCTCACTCCAAGACCGGAGGGTGAGTGAAATGTCCTGTTTGTACAGTCACTGAGTTTAATGGGGTGACAGAAGGTCCTTGTTAGCAAGAGATAAAATGATAGTAGCTGTAGTTTAGCTGAATGACCCGTGTGTGTGTGTGCGTGTGCGCGTGCACAGTATATTGCAGCGCAATGAGCGTGTCTGTCAGTTGGCCATTTTTCTCTGACTATGTTGAGATTACGGCAGCAGTGAACCAGTGTTTGAGAGAAGTGTCCCTGCTGTCTCTCTGGTGCACAGCTGAACGCTCTACTTTGTATTTGTTTATTCTTTTTAGGATCGTTTCTGCCAAATTCTGATGAAATCCCGCTTTTCTTTAATGACGGCTGATTGTGCAGCTGTAAGAGAATCACTCAGGACTGGAGTTTGTTCACGGCTGATTTTGATGTGCTGAGCTTTCCAAGCATGGCCGGTTGTCATAAGTCGACCTACGTTTTGGCCATGACTCCTGCAGTTTGGTTCAGATAAAATCACACTTTGGACACTGAATTCACAGTGCCTGTAGAAAATATTGGGCATTTGAAATTCATTTAGATTACTTTGTAGAGCCACTTTGCCACAAAAGGGTCTTTACCTGTTGATTAACGTGAATTAAAAAAGCCACAACAAATCCAGTAAGACGGGTTTTCTTAACCTTTTGTAACTCTAGGCTCCGTAGACGCTCGTGTCTACGGAGCCTCGAATTAATCGCACTAAAAAAAAACATCCCCTGTGTTCAACAGACCTTTGCTGGTACAGGGCTGTCTCCCACATCTCCTTGTTTCAAAAAAACGATCCATTTAGCGACGTTGGTTAGCTAGTAGCATCTCTACCCGATTGCCGTAGTGACATCTGTGGAGGCTGAAATCTTCCCCACCGAGAGAAGGCCGGAGAGCACGCTCCACTGTTGTTTTACAGTAGAGTTGCTTCTTAATAAATCTACCAAATACTGGTTTACAATTAAAAGTATTTAATCCTACTGAAGCTAATACAATTACAGAATGAAGTACACTACTAACAGAATATATAATAATATGGTCCGCGCGGAAAAGCTATTCACTCGCGACTCAGCCTGAAAACACAGATGTTTCCACGCTGAGAGCCGAGCAAGAAGAGAGCGAATAGCCCTTCCAGCACTTCCTCATACAGTTTGAAATCCCACCCTTTTGCACATCTTAATTCCTATTGGCTAATTTCGGTTGCCTCCTCCTGGCGTCAGGCTTCCGAAAACCCTCGCGCGGGTACAACCTGCAAATGTCTGTCTAGAAGTCTGACTTTCCCTTGGCTATTCTTCACAGTTTAATACATTCAATGACTGTCTTTTATGGCTTAACACTCCTACGATAAACATTCTATATAAAGATAAGGATTTGCAACTTTTGTCAAAAACCTTCACAAGTTTCACAAACAAATATAAAGGTGCTACAAATTCTACTAAGATACACTTCTAACTACAAAACACTTCTAACTACAAATTCTAAAACACCTACAATTATGAATCTTTATCTCTTCTAATCATGATTTCTTAATTATGAATCATTAAACACTTCTATTGGAATTTCTTAAAACACACTTCTAAACCCCAAATTTCCTACACATCATTTAAGTGTTCATCGGAATTATGCATTTTAATTCATTTTTTTTCCATTTACGTGAATTATTGAGCACATTTAGATATAAAAAATAATTAGCTTTGTGATTACCATAGAAATGTTTTTTCTTTAATCTAAACATGCAGCAGTACCTCAGCATCCCACTAGATGGCTCTCTGAGGCCCACCAGTGGCTCAGAATAGCAGCTCTAAGATTTAACAGGGTGAATCATTTCTACAGGGACGTTACTTGTAACCATCTGAGTTTGAATGGGGCTGTCGACTGTTCAACATTTAAATATGAGTCAGCCAAATGTAGATGTGCCGTACACATGTGCAACATCCAGTGACACATTTATTTCCCTCAGAGAAAGTTGAGCTAAATATTTAGATTTTCATTTGTACAGTTTTATTCCATTTTCTACTGTTGAACACTGAGCTGCTTCGCTAAAACAGCAGGGGGTTGAGTGCCTTGCTCAAGGGCACATTGATGGTGGTTGAGTGAGGGGGAAGAGTAATACTCAACCGCAGCTTTGTGTCGATGACTTTGATGTCAAGCACCGTAGTTCACCGTTACTGAAAACCTCGCCTACTTGTTTTTTTTATAATGGGGCATCGTTTCACAGGACCTTGCATGAGCGCCTCTTCAGCACGGCAGCTTGTGTGACACTTTATTTGACGACACAGCGCGGCAGTCAGCTGCTTACTGGTAAATTTTATAGCAAGATAACCGCTTAAAGCCGACAACAACCTGCATTTTATGGGAGCAGCCAGTGCGTCGGAAATAAGCTGCAGCTGCTAAACATGAAATGAGTTTCTCACTCTGGCTTCCGTCTCCACAGTCCACAAAGATGACATTAACACTGAGGCATCACCCTTCACCGCTGATTTGATTAAATACCCCTGCACTGCCTTCAAGAAGCCACAGGAGGAGCTCAAAGTCAACTGGAGGTCTGCGTTCGGGACTTCCACCCTTGTTTTCTCTGACTTGAGCAAGAAGCCAAAGCCTGTAAACTCCCCACTCTCCCCAGCCGGCAGTCATTTGAATTCCTTGGCGGCAGAGCGAGGTTTATATAAATACAGCGTCTGCCAAGGGACAACAAGCCCCAATTATGCCTCTGGTGGCTGGCAGAGGCAAAGTGCCGAGCTCTCCAATGGGGAATCACTGGCCTCCTACAGTCACCCATCCAAGAAAATGAGAATTGATCACAGCCCCTTTCCCAGTAACAATGCTCAAAATGGAGCCCCCAACTCCGGGTGAGTGGATCTCTCGCTTCGCTTTTCATGAATAAGTTTATAATAAGAGAAGTTTTTTTGCAACCTCAGGCAGATAAGTGAGATAGGAAAAAAAAAAAAAAAGCATGTGACTGTGAAATTGTAATGCGACATTGTTAAAAAGAAAAGTGAAGATTGATGAGTAGGACGCAATGCAAATGCCATTATTACCAGCACACACTGTTGAAGAGAGGTTGTTTGTTCGCTAATGAGGTTTGATGTGACGGGTACACTTGTGTTTTATCTATTTGTCTCAAACTAATAAGACTTGTTTTCTTCACTCCTGTCAGTATGCGCAAAACAGAAGCGACGCGCCGCAGCCCCTCCGCTTCTTCCAGTCCCAGTGCCCCGTGTTGTGCATCGCATCGTCGCCCGGCTGTCCTCAGAACGGTCCACAAGGACGGGGAGAACAAGGGACGACGGTTCTACGCCTGCTCGCTTCCCAGAGACACCAAGTGTAACTTCTTCGAGGTGAATATGGAAAGCAGCTGATCTCTGTGGCATCACGGAGCCCAGAAAATTAGTTTCAGCTTAGCCACAGCCTTTGCAATGTGCTGGCATCAAATTTTAATGCCTGAAATAAAAGATAACAACATAGTTAATAAAAACTTATTTCCTCTGTTGCAGTGGGCTGACTCGCACTTCCCCTTTTGTCACCATGGGAAACGCTGTTTAATGAGGACCGTTCTGAAATTGGGACCCAACAACGGCCGGAATTTCTACATTTGCAGCTTTCAAAAGGGTAAACAGTGTGACTCTTTCCAGTGGGCAGAGAATGGACCAGGGGTTTCAATACTTCCTGGTTGTTGATGTTCTACTTCTACTGGAAACTCTGTTTATATGTTCATTTAAATACATGGGTATAAATATGATATAGAAAGAGACTCTTTAACTCATAATTAATGTTGTAAAATACACAGATTTGTACTGAACAACTGTTAAATGGAGAATATCTATCAACTGTATGACCTTTAGATCATGCCCAACCGCTTGTTTGTACAAAAATGTGCATTGTATTTGTATCATGTCTTGGTATGTTAATCTTTCAAATATGTGTTTCAAAGTTGTCGTGAGAATGATGAATAAATACAGAATGAAAACAAGTAAAAGCAGAAACAATTACTTTTATTTTTTTTTTGTATGGAGAGTGTTAATTCATGCAAGTACATAGAAGAGATGCACACGGTCGAACAACATTTAAAAGCAGTCCACAGATTTCAGGATTGGTGAGCTGGACTCTGAGTTTGACACCATGTAGTGAAACTGGGACAAGCCCGGGACTTTGTTACAGGCGGCACCTTAGGAGATAAAAAAACACAGAAAAAAGTATTTATTCCCTTTAAAATGCCAATATTCTAAAAGCATGTGTAAACTCCGTGTCGGTAATATTTTAATGACTATTTAAAAGGAAGCAACCCGATATATTTTTCATACAGATTATTCATCTGTTCAAAACAGATTGTTTTGAATGTTTTTTTCAGAACTTAAATATGGAAGTTTAATATGTTTTGCAAATTGAAAGCAAATGCATATAAATAACAAAAAAACGTACCCTATCAATGTGTTTATGCATATCCGTCTGCTCGTCTACACCTCTGTAGATGCGAGCGCGTGTGTCTTAACACCTTTGCCAGTAGCTGAACAGTCCGTATTTGTGAACCTCAACACTCACCATAATGACCTGTTGTGTTAGCACAGATGATGGCTCCAAAGAAGTCTGAGTAATGCCTCTTGATTCTGGAAATTGCCGTCTTGCAGGCTGCCGAGGGATCTGCCCCGGCCCTCATCAGCTCCACGGCCAAGTAACTGTTGGCAGGATTACATGCAGTACACATGAGGCAGGCTAACAAGTGCTGTCAGGGCCACCAACCAGGCTGATGATGAGGACGCGCCTACAATTATGGTGTGGGATAAATCTGATGCAAACAAATCAATGTCAAGAAAAACTGATGAAATATAAAAAAACCTGCCAGCCTCACTCCATGCAAGAGAGTCATCCCACTACTTCATAAGTGTTCACAAGTGGGACAATTTGTAGACGTTGACCATCACCGCAATCCTAATTACTTGCTCTACAGAGACAATATGGGAGTCATTAACTCTATTTGCAGTCAAATGTATAAGAGTGTGAGTGAGTAACACATTGCAATTTCCTAAAATTGCCTTGTAAAAGTTTGGGATTATAAAGAGGTAAATTTATTCCTTTGTAAATTCTTATGCCAGGAGTTGTACTGTACATCTTTGGTGTTATTTTCCACACAAGATAGCAAGCTAATAAGAGTACAATTCCCATTTTTGGAGAGAGGTACTTTATATTTAAAAGTATTTCATAACACTTGTTCAAGGAAAGGTTTGGGATTTTTGGACCAGCGTGATGGATTTTAACACGGCCTGCTGTTGGTGATGTGTTACTGCTACGTGTTGACAGTGAGGTCCCTGGGAAGGCTTGTAATCATACTTACAAAAACTGTGTATGGCATGGAGAATGAATGATAAACACTTCAGTTCACACTAGTAGCGAGGTCTTCTTTAAAAAACGTAACCCCCAATCGTTCCAGGAAGTGAATCAGAAAGCTGTGATTGAAATACACGGCCCCTCAGGAGTGGGTGTGTGTGTGTGACTATGAATGTAAAGCTCAGTGCAACTTTAAAGAAAACACTCTGTGTACTCCCCAAACTATCCTAGATAAATAAATCTTTTTAAAAAATAAACCATTGGAGACTGCCAAATTCTCACAGCCTGGAAACAAACTGCTTTAGTCTCCAAAAATATCCCTTCTGAGAAATGTACATATGACAGTTTTGGGGCAATGTAGTCACACCTCCACTCTTTTATAATAATGTTGTTGCACTTTCAGCAGGAGGTTCACTCCAGAAATTGGCTGTTAAAAAAACTGCACGTGACACAAATGTCATTAGTCACTGAAACACAGTTCTTCATGTCAAGAAAAAAAAACTAACATTCCTGTTATTAAAAAAAGTACCAATAAACCCTGGTTAGTGTGGAGTTCCAGTCAGCCTATTTATCATGGAATTTAAAATGCAACACTGTTGAGAGGAATTCTGCTGGATGACTATTTATGATGGTAAGGTATTTTCATGTACATTTCGAACTGAGGAAGAAAGCACAACAAACGACGGGTACCTTGGCAGAAAGCGCATCATGAGGTCTCCATCTCCGGTAGCAGCAGCACCTCCAGCTGAGCTATCTGCGTAGGCCCCGGCTCCAACGATAGGAGAGTCCCCGACGCGACTGCAGGACGGGAAAGTGAGCAGGGTTTTAAAACAGACACGATGCCACAAAGTGCAGACAAAATGAAAAAGAGTGTAACTTATATTTTTTTTATTAAATGGCAAAGGCTTAAAAATGTTATACAACTGAAAACAGTATCCTAAAACATGTACTGTACTGTAGATTAGGACACTGATCTACAAACCCTGGAACTTTGTGAGTGAGACCGTTGGTCGATGTACCAGCAGCCATGTGACCATTTCGATCAAGAGCCACCATCCCTGTTGCAAAAACCAAAGAAGTGGTATGTCAGCTATCCCCCCAGGATATCCTTTTAGCTAAAGAAAAAGTCATTTCAAGCCCTTTTGTGAGGTAGCGCTAATACTCCCGAAGGTTTTTGACAGCATATTCAATTCCTAACGATTCCAGGTGCCCTGATCCAAACAATGGTCTGCCTCACATCACATTAAATTGGGGCAGGTCAAAAAATACAATTTCTGTACAATTTCTGTGCACATACATTTGGGTACCCACAAACTGTGAAAAAATAAATCATATTTCTTTGCAGGCTGACTGGATCAGATGCCATGTGATTCAACAAGCGGTTCAGATTTGGCTCCCCTTCCTGCGCCGCATGCAGGCTCTTTAGAATATACCGCCCGCAGCTTGAGTACTTCCTTTGCAAAGGAGCGGCACGTTTTATTCGCAAGATAATCAGAGCAGACTGAACTTTTTGCGGGAGGGGGTCTTAAAGAGACAGGCGCGCAAAATGAAGCGTTTTCAGACGGAGGGTGAACACAGGTATATTCAGACAGACGGTATGAGGAAAATAATGTTTTTCGAACATTAAAGCATGTGCACATGTTCTAGCAGTAACCCAAAAATACAAGTATGGACCTGAAAATGAGCATGACATGCCGCCTTTAAAGATGAGATTTTTTATTTAGACAAACAAAAATGTAAGACCTCCAGAATTGAATTGCTCCCCGTTAACCTCTACATCCGTACTTCAGTAGGTCCGTCTGTGTTCTTTTTTTTGGCACATTATGCTGCTTCTCGCTCTCATCCATGCCTGGTTTCAATGAAGCGCTTACATACTAAACTGTATAAAAAGCCTGAGGAAAGCTGGCTTTGCTTCACGTTCCGTGTTAACAGATAAAAACCTACCTATGGTGTCATGGGAGCGCGTATTGGCATGCTGTGGCCTCTTGTTCTGTCTCACTGTCGCCCTTTGCTTGTAGGGTCCACAGGACTCGGAGGGATCTGGAAACACATTCTTTTGACAGGAAAGAAAACATCAACGCCGTTTGCATAATTTCATAATCAAGGCGTGTGATAAAATTCAGCCATTCACTTTGATTTGCTGTCGTGTAATGAAATAAAGCTATCAGCTCAATTCTCACGAGTGGTTTGGCACCTGATAATAAACAGAAGGGAGTCTTGTTCCGTCTGGACTCTCTCCAGTATCTTATTTCCAGTGACTGAACCATTAAATGAACAAAGCATCTCACTTTAAATCCCTGCTGCAGTCAAATCCCATGTTTTATTGAGACCGACAACCTAGTGTACCTGAGGGTAGTGTGGTTTGAGAAAAGGTTTCCCTGTCTCTCTACCTCAAGGTGCCTCCTCTGCTCTCATGAGTGAGCGATGCACCAGCTTGACCTGCAGGGAGGTGTGAAAAAGTTCATTCTGTTCCTTTGATGTTACATGCAAGTGGAAGTCTGTCACATTTTGAGTGTAAGTGAACAAAACGCGGGGCCATAAAAGGTAAACTTAAATGTTAAAGCAAAGGTCTTTTCATATGGCATGTATCTGCATCAGCATTACTTTTATACAGGGCTGCCATCATGCCATTAATAAAGCAAAGTCAGGAGCAACTAGTCTGCTTAATGTGCATAATTCATAAAGCAAAGTCTAAAATATTCCATTTCATGATGGTGAAGGTAAAACCCTTGAAAACATTCTCTTTAGTTTCCCAGAATGGAGGTTCGGTTGTTCTCCTGTGACCTCAGCAACAATCTGAAATTGTCCCCAAAACAAAGAGACTGCCCGATGGATTGTACACTTTGTGGAAGTATTGAATGCATACTTTTATGGAGACCAATACTTAGTACTCTCTCCTGTTTTGTGTCTTGTACTATTTGTCAGTATTTACTGCTGCATGCTTTTGTACACTTCTAAACCAAATCTGTAACACATTTCGCTAACTTCCCGGTGCTCGCTAAATACAACGATTTTATTGGCAGGATCAGTTGGGAGGTAGTGGAGTGCTTCGATTTTTCTCTACATCCACCATTGAAGAGATGACCTTCAACAAAGCATTTAACTCCTATGTTTGGTAGTGAAGCAGCTCAGTGGCCTTCAGTGGAGGTCCTTGAACTGGATCAGCCCCAAGTGGAAAAACGGTGATCATTTGATCAACAGGGCACTGCACACTCTCTGGAGCAATAACTGGCTGACTGAAAAGAAAACAAGAAGAAATCCGACACTGGAGATTTTGGGGCATTATTGAGGAAGTGAACAGGTTTCGTTTTAAAGAATGTAAAAAAGCCATCGCTGTAGGGCATCACCTCCACCACCAACTTCTTTCGTATGCCTGTCAGTTTTTCTGCTTATTATCAATCTTTTAGAAGCAGCACGCCTGTAGCCTGTACAAGTGAGGAAAAACACATCCTCTAATACACACACACACACACACACACACACACACACACACACACACACACACACACACACACACGCGCGCGCGCACACACGCGCGCGCGCACACACCTTTCGATAATTAGGTTGGCAGTTGCCCTTCAGCCACTGGGAGAAAATATTCACAGATTTGTTGGTAGTCAGGTCTTCTGCGATGAAGCCCATGTTTTCAGCAAACACAGACGCTATAAAGAGAGAAGCACTACTTTCAGGTCAAGTTACACACACTGACCTTGGGTTAGAAGGAAACAAAAGGAGGGGCTGGAGGCCATCTAATCTCATTTTAGCCAAGTCCTACATCACTACTGTTTTTAGCAGTGACCTTATCGTTCCTATAAGAAAGCAAAACTGAATCTCACTGGGAAAAAAATGTGGGAGGTTTTTTGAGTTGTATTATTTGGTTGACAAGTCACTCATCATAGTGGAATAAAATGTTTCAACATTGGCCTTCAGTTACCTTTAAATTACTTGCAGAGAGATGAGCTGCTCCTCCATTCTTTTACTGCTGTCATGAAAAAAACCTGAAGGCCACGCATTCATCGCTACCTGCTGGTGTTCTGTGGCGCGAAGCTTACTGAAGTGCTTCAAAAACGTATGCAAATTCAAAAATCAAGGTGTCTCCTTTAAACATACGTGTTAGATCTCTGTTCAGTTAATTTTATACACATGCATCTTTACATATGTGACTGGATTTCTAAATGTCAAGATTATCCTTTCCGACACAAACCATATTTTGTTTGTTTGTTTTTTTACTTTTGTGGGTATTGATCCTCACGTACCTGACTCTCCCACCAGCAGCGTGTGGTCCGTGTGCTCCATCACAGCTCTCGCTACTCCAATGGCGTTCTTGATTCTTCTCAGGTCTGCAACTGCACCCACCTCCATTGTATCCCTGGCCACAAAGAATAGCCAGAAAATAAGCATCACTACTGGTTGACTGGACACAAGCGCTGTGGAATGTTTACTTGTCGAAGCGTGACGGAGCTGGGGTTTTTTTTGAGAGTGGGTCCTCGTTTCGTTTGTCTTGTGCGACAAGGAAACGAGTGATAGCCTCCACATTCCTGCCAGTGATGTCACACTGTGCCACCGATCTGTGGCTCTGATGCAGGTTTCAAACTTAAGAAAAATCTGCTTTTGCCGATGTTTTATTGAGGAACGGTAATGCATTCATCACGTTACACTTGTTAGACCTCAAGGGTACATATTCCGGTAACACTGAATGTAAACAGAACTTTTGTGTTTCCAAGAAAAAACATAATATTTTCTAGATATTATCTTTAACTCTTACACGTTACATGGTTGCGATTATCTCTTTATAGTGTGATGCAATTCACTAGAAATGCCTGGTGATAAAAACCTCTGAGGCTGCAGCTTGTTGTGGTGCTTCTAATATTGATTCACCTCAACCAACTAAAGTCTCCTTGTTGCCATAGAGTTGAGTGTCTCGCAGACACAAGATCAAACAATGAACGTTACACTTTGAATTTATTACAGAGCTCATATTTATTGCAGGGCTGTTCCATTGGATCGCATATAACTGTACAGGTGTTTCGATTCCTCTGCTCAGTCAAAGTGTGCAATATGTCTGCTGGTGATTCTCACGCAGCTTTATTGGATAGTGAGTGGGAGGCTATCCTCTCCCCACAATGTATTCATGACTATGTCACCAAAACAAAAAAAAGTGTTTTCTTCCTGCCAAATGGAAGAAGGAACATTCCATATGGTAATAACAAGCTGCTTGCCTTTTGTCTGGCGTCGCGAAGCTGACATTTGCCTCCCGTGATAACTCCTGAATGTGTAAATGTTTGTAAGAATGTAATAACTGGCAAGCTTTCAGATCCAAATGAGAATCTTAATCAGTGCTTTATTAAAGAGAGGCTGGCTGCAAAGGTCAACCAGTTACAGCCGTAAATGTTAAAAACAGAGAGATAGCACAACTTGTGACAGTAACATGCTGACAGCTGCTGGTGCATAATTTCAGTGGCCTTTTTGAATTAAATACAGGTCATTTATGTTCAATCTATTTCATGTTTTTTTTTCTTTTTTTGTTTTATGGAATTCAGAACAACAGCATTGATAGAAATCCAAGCATAAACAGAAGATTTGCAAAGATAAAACTGGGCTTGTACTGTCTCACACAGCTGCTTTCAGGTGGCACAAATGGCAGCTGGATAGAAACCAAACAGCTGTTCCAAATAGCCACACGCACATTCTACATGTTACCCATCTTCGTAATCGACTGCTTCTTCCTGCTGCATTACAAATATTCGTAACCATCTCATTTCCTATTTTTGCTTTCAACTAAAAGCGCAGTTCATGCCCGTCCGTGGTTTACCCGTTCATGATCATGGCATCCAGCGTGGTCTCTCCGGACTCATCTGGGCTCCCACCATAGCCCACGCTGCCATGACACTGTTCCATCTCGCAGCGGGCACAGCCCTTCTCCACTGCATCCAACACTGAGCCACCAGACTGCAGGGTACTCCATGCTACAGTATAAAACAGAGCACAGTGAAACATTCAGTACACGATAAACTACAAGGAAGTAAACACTGTTCACCGGTCACATGATATTACAGTGGCCATGCAACATTGTTGAGCTTAGTTTTGTCCTGGGAGAGGTAAGATAAGGTCAGTTATAAACAACCATGCTGGGAAAGAAAGTTTGCGTCCTGTTCTGAGACTTTACCGTATAATTCATATCTTGTTTTATAGCAATTTTGACAGCTAATGTAAAATGATCTGATACCAGAAAACACGTTTAGCAAACCACATATTACTTCAGTTGAGCGTTAAATGTTATTTACAAGTACTGGTTTCTCATCCTATAAATAGTGAACAACAATCTCCCAACTCAGCGTGCTTTCTTGGAGATTATGATTTTAAATGATGTTAAATATGAAGGGTAATTATTGAAATTCAATGAATCTATTTGTCCAGTTTACATATCTGCACAGATGAGTTGAAGGTTCAGATGTTTCAAGTCATTTAGGATCAAATACCCAACAATTACAGAAGCAGTCGTCAAATACTGGGTCTCAAGTTCCCTCCAACAATGCCAATTAAATATGCTAATTAAATATGTATATAAAGGAAATCGCGCAAGTAAAAAAAAACTAAATGAGATGCTAAGATATAAATTAGTAGTAGACCATTATTGCAAACAAATAGGCTGAATTTTAACAGTAATGTACTAAATTGTGTGTGTATAAATATATATATAAAGATGACGCATGAGATGACCACTACGATGGATTCCTAATAAATGGAATGTGAGCTGACAAGCATTTGGTCACTGATCCCCCAAGTGCCCACGGGGGATCAAAATACCAACTGGCAGCACTGTCACCAGCTTGCCACTAAATTCTCAGACCATCACACTGTGTTCAGCGGGATGCCACCACCAATTCCTCCTCTTATCACTTATGATTCATCCATCTATAAATTCTGTCTGTCTACCATCTTTGGTAAGTGCTCTTGTCTCAGGATATAATTCTTTTTTCTTTTCTTTAACATATGAAACTCAGCATTACAGTCCTTTACACTCAGAAAACACAGCAGAATGTAAGAGGAGATTCGCCTGCTATTCTCAGCTGCTTCTGTAAGCCCCCTAAGGAAAAGAGATCTGCATGGGCGGATCAATGGGGGCTCACAGACTACACTTTTAAATATCTACCCACAGAACAGATAGCATTTTTCATTTTCACACCCGCCTCGGGGAAAATAGGTGATGCACATCTGATAAATTAAAGGCTATCCATCTATCAAATGGGGAGATTTTTTGAGGGAACTTTAATCACCTGCAGGTTTTGATGATGCCGCTTGAGATGTTTCGAGCACCATTTCTATCATTTCTTTTTTCGTGTTGAGCTGTGCGGCTGGTTGAAGTCCACTCGACAGATAAGTCACAATATTTTCAGTTTCAATTTGAACATGTCCGATGTATCATCTTGTAGGAAATCAAATAGGTAGAACCGACCTGGCAATTGGTTATGGTGCTTGCCAGGGTTTGCACATCTCACTCTCTGTCGTCTTGGCCAATAAGATGACAGAAAATAATGAAAAACGCCTTTCACTACTAAAACCCAAGGAGATGTCTTAAATGTTTGGGTTTTTTCTTCGACAAACGGTCCAAAACCAAAGGAGATAAGACAGCGACAAGCTGATATATTTCATTGATAAATGACAGAAACAACTAATCGGTGGATTATAATAGTTGCTGATACATTTTCTATCCAGCGACTAATGGTTTCAGCTGTGAATATGTCATCAGAACTCTAATCAGGAATGAAATGGAAAAAATTCATTCACTTAGATAATAACAACATTTTTTGGGCTATGATGAGTCATCTAATAGCAAAATGACACAGTGCTCAGCTATGACCATTTGCTACTAAATTAATTCATAACACTACAGCTCCTGCTCTGCAACAAGACTGTTAGAAATTAGATGTTACTTAACAATTCAAAGTAGACGCATGTCACAAAACACAAGGCCGAGGATGTCCCAGAATAACAACAAATCATATCAGACGTGTTGATGTGTCTGATACATGGTATCCTCTAATGTCATGGCTTCTAATGGCTTATCTGCTAAATTCATGTGTACCGGCTTGAAAATGTCATTTCTTTTTAGACTGTGAGGCTTAATAACAGCATTAGGAGAATTTATTTTTACGATTTTAGTTTTTTTAATACTACTTTGCAGGTACAGGTGACCAAACGACTGTTTTCATCTTCATAATGAAATTGAAAGTATAGAATACACGGTACAGTATATTTGCTGTATAATATATTGCAGATTAGTGCTGCAAACATTAAAGTACAGGAGCCTTTATTGCAGAATTTCCTGCAACTGATCTGTCCAGTGATTATTTTTAAGGCCTACAGAAGCAATGCTTTGATGTGCAAAACGATTAAGATAATAATAATAACCGTGACGTACACACATTTATATACAACAAATAAAGCCTTTATATTATATACATTTTGGGTGGTATGTTTCTCTGCAGATTTTGGCAACAATGTCTCCAGACGGAATGAAACTTTTGAAACAGTTCCGTATAAACACGCAGTCACGTGACTGTACGGCCTAACTTTACCTGCAGCCGTCGCATTCTTGAATGGCCACGTATTGATAACGAGAGGTAGCGAGGACAGTCCAACTGGAAACAGTAGCGTTAAAGTAGGAATCAGGAGCGATGCAAACATGTTGCCCTGACAAACAGAGAACTGTTGACGGTATTTCCTTTTCATTGATCTTTGCTCACGCCACCGTTAGTATGTAATATCCCGGCATACTGTCAGACAGAGCAGGTTGAATACATATGATATGTTTTCAGAGAGAGTTCGCTACACTTTGGTTTAATGCAGCGTTGTATTTAAACGTCCTACAAAGGTGCTGTCTCTGCTTCCTTGTGTCACATGTTGAGTGGGCGGCTTCTTCCTTAAAGGGGCAGTACACTTCGGAGTTGTGGCTTTACTATATAAATGACCTCGGATAACAAAAAAGAAAAATCAGGTAGCCTACATATAACATCCTTTATATATTCAACCAATGCAGCAGTTGCCTTAACCAGATTTTTCTCAAAAACAGTGTCAACACTTCTTTGCCTTTGTGAACATTTTGAAAAATATAATTGTGGGAAAATAAGTGTATACTAGGGAAAACATTCTGAATAATACAGAAGGTACTCAATTATTCTGTGTGATATTTACAGGAAGGGAAATAATGTTGTCAAGTGGCTGGCAATGTTGTGCAATATAAAATCTAGGCTAGCCATGCTAATTAGATAGAAAATGTGTTTAGCTATGTAGGCAGGCTGATGTCCACCATCATGCTAAATGCCAGCATGTTTGGATAATACCTGTTTTGCAGATGGCAGTGCAATGTACTGTTTCAGTATCGCCACCGTTGGCAGCACTGAGCAGTGGCTGAGCAGGTGATGGGGAAGTCATGTTGGATTTTAACAGCAGCCATTTTGACATGTCACAGCAGAAAGAATAGCACAAGTTTAATAAGTAATATCATCGAGGCGTGCATTCCTTTCAGGTGTGCTGTTTGCAGGTCCCTGCTGCTGTGCATGCTGGCTCCTTCCTATGGTTTAAAGGAACTTAGCCGTCATTAACTAAAACCTTCAAGTCAAAAGGTCTGCTGTCAGAAAGGACCTGCTGACATGAAAACCCTTATTAGGGTAAGTTTTGCTTTAAGTGACTGACATCCACTTTTTCTCTGTTAGATTACTGAGAAGTTCACTTTCCCCCCAGGTGACTTTGTATTTTCATATTAAAATCCTTCCAGTGAAGAATTTTAATGAGCATTGCACCTAAACTGAGTGGGCTGACTGGGCAGCTCTTTTAGAACTAACATCCAGTAATTCATACAGGTTCTGCAGGATGACCTTTGTAACCTGGCAGAGTTCACTGTTTGCCCTCATTCACACCAGAGTGCTCAGACCACTTCAGCTAAAACCACCTGACTGTGCTGTTGGCAGCTTGGGATCGTGGTGACTTTTCTCAAGGGATTCATTCACTGTGGAGATGCCGGGAAACCGAGGTAATCATTTGCAGCTAGCTGATGCTCCTGCTTGTGCTTTTAGTAGAGGTCTTGGCTCAGGACAGTCTGTTTTGTGCTTGGCAAAAAAAGCTGCCCTTGTTGCTGACTGTTTCTCTGTCCAGTATCAGTGTGCTTTTACAACAATACAGTTTGTCAGAGAGGCATGCATTTGTCGCAGGGTCTTTAAGGCTGTCCTGCATGTGCTTAGATGTCATAGCACCTTCTGCCTGCTTTTCTATCAATCTATTGCATCTACAGGTACATCAAAGGCACTGATTGAGCATCCAGGCTATTTTATTTGCTCTCTGTTTGGAACACGCGTTATGCCTTCATGCTATTGATTACTCTAGTGAAAACATTCATTTTTGAATATTCTCACGTACCTCATATTTTTTTTATTTATGTGCTAATTTGTTCTAGGGCATAGTTCTGCCTCATATAGTTGATATTATTTTGGGATTTGTTTGAGGGCTTGCATTAATACTGTTTAATTTTGGCTTTATGGAAAATATGGCGATTGTCACACTATAACTAGTCATATTTACATTTTTCTCCACAGACTTTATATTTAGCTATAAGCATTAGAACATATGTTTACTCAAGATATTACTTTAATGTACTTCACCATTCTTTATTTTCCAGGTAGGTGAGAGCACCTTGATTGCCTCTAATAGCAGCATGCATCCATTAGTTACAGCATATTTCCCTTGTATGAAGACACTATTTGTATCTTGCCGTTTATTTAAAGAAGAAGTCTGCACGATCACTGAGCTACATCGCAAAAGAGTGGATGCTTGGGTTATGTGAAGTTTTCATAAAGAGTAGAGCATTACTGTACAGCCAGAATAATCAGGCAGTTGCTTGATGCTGATCTTATGTTAACAGTGTCCATCAAAAACTGATGAAAGCTGAAAGTCCAAAGAGTGTAGCTGTGTCTCGATTCAGAGGTTGGTTCTTCCAAAGGATGTTCTCCACAAAGGTTGGTCTCTCGGAAGATTAAAAGTCTAGTCTGAGCCTGCACCTCTTTCCAAAATGAGAACAAGAGACCAAAACTAATTGGACATTCAGGCAGCGGTCCTCATCAACTCGTGAAGTAAAAAGTTGATTACCAGGCAGTTGCTCTCAAATGAACAGAGAGTGTACCATTGGTTAATCGGGATAATGATGATTATAATGATTCAAAAATAGATGAAGTCCATGAGATAAAAAAAATACTTGCAAGAGCACATATAATGTGATATATCTATGACAAGAATAACCTCAATCCCACACTGTCAAAGTCCAAAAAGTAACTTTACTGTGACTTAGTAAAGTTTTTGATTAGCCTCAGACATAGTGTCAAAATAAGAAATGTAAGTTCTGAAAGGTTTTATTTTCTATAAAGGACTGCAAGAAACAGAAGATAACCCCTTTTGTAATGGAATACACTGTACCCAAATGTATCATGATTGATTACTTTATTTGTCTGTATGCTATAAATAAGGGAGCAGACAATCGATACAGAAGCCCAGAAAAGTCTAACGGGCTCATAGATGTTCTTTTTTTCCACTGTGCATGTGGCATACGTGAGTCCTGTGAAAAAGTGTGCTCCACTCCTTGTTTTCCCTGCTGGGTTCTGTTCATAAAAATAAAATTGCATGACCATCTAACACACTCATACCTGCTGTCCAATGTAGATCTTATTGGCCTATCAACGAGAGAACCAATGATGAATGCAAACCTTTAGATTTAATGGTTTGGATTTTGATTACAAGTCACACATCAAAATAAATTTCCTCGGAGAGCCGTTTTAGCGACAGTCATCAGTTAAGTGTCATCTTTTAATAATTTGAGCATATAAATCAATGTTCCATCAGTCCTTTCTTCATCTCCTTCAATTTACCTCCTGGTAAGAAGCAGTTGATCGTGACAGAGTGAAGGAAATGGGTTGTGGTGAAAAGTTTTGGCATACTCTCCAAGTCATACCATATGGCACTGCCTTGACACTACATAACTCCTGCTGGGTCTGGGATTTTCTTTTTAAGTTCCTGGAATAACATATCCCAACGGAGGAGGCAAAGTGTCCCTCAGAACAGAAAACTTGATAGAATTGGATCCTCTCATTTCTTGCCAAACAAGAACAAAGCGTAGGCCAGGCGGAGGGAACTAACAATATAGTCTAACCTTGAGACGTGGACGCCAACAGCGTGCCCTCTTTTACATTATTCATATGAAAAATACAATTTTCACTTATATTTTATTCATTGGTTTTTCCTTAAACAATGGGAAGTCCTAGTGTGGTTTTGACAGGGGTGGCTGACGGAGAGAAAATGGATGAGAGAGAGAGTATTATTACTTTCACCAGTGTTATTGATCGAAATTAAAGAACAGCTGTTAAAAAAAATAGCTTCTTAATAATAACTTCATCAGTCACCGATGTCCTTTGAAGTTGTTTCATAATGTCCTTCATAACAGTCTCAGAGGGTATACGCAATGTCAATACAGGTGAGCGCAATGGCATCTCAAAAGATGTGTGGATACATGTGTGGAAACCACAACACCACTGTGTGTAATAGCTGGTGGACAATGTCCTCTTCCTGATGGACGGCTGCTGACAGACTGTTGTTGCAATGTACAATGGGGGGTTTAAATTATAGCTTAGGTGATACTGGATTATTAAGGCCGTTACTAATTCAAGAGTTCAGTAATTATATATCAGCTGATGTAACTTTTTATACAAACAAAACAGGACATTTAGTTTTGTTTTTAAATCTCACCACTGCTCTTTGGTGGACAACCTATCCAGACACTTTCTATATGACCAAAAACATACCTTTGGCATTTTTGTACATGCACGGATATTGTTCCCAATGAATCCAATAGCAACCCTGTTTCTCCTGGGTTGTCTCATTGACTTAATATTTTAACTTTATGCTTACTTACAGCCAAGAGAAGAGACCCAATAGAAAACGTTGTATCAGTAGAAACGAAAGGGTTATCTTGGTTCTTGGGCCATGTTTAAGCCCAGGGAGATATCGTAGATAGGTTGGTTTGTCAAAATAGATGGTGTTTATGTATAAATTTAAATTTAGTTGTTTATTATTTTGAAAGATAGGAAATGGCTTCTTTAGAAATAAAGTAATCTTATGGCTGAGATTTTTTCTTCAACAATTCTTTCTGTTTCATTGTTAACAAGTTGGGCCCACAATGTCAGCTTAAGAATCTGCTAAATTGTGTTATTCATCTTGATATTAAACTTTATCTTCTTGCTGATGTTGTAGATGCTGAGAACAAACAGTTAATTAATGCGTTTAGTTGAGGGAATTCCATCCCGGCATTTTTTTTGTCAAGTGTTTACACAATTTAGCAAATCAGCATTTTTCAATTAATCCTATGAACGCAGAAAAGGAAGACGGAACACAAAAAAATCCACTGCCATCCCAAGAGTTTTTCTACTTTATCTTGAATGCCAGCAAAGTCAATTATCTCTTTTTGTAAGTTTCTCCATGGTTTCCAAAACAGATGGTTTACCGGTTTGTCCAGAGACCTGTCTTTGTAACAAAGTTGCAAAGGGAAAAGTTCAGATGGCACCATTGACAGGTCTGTTGAAAGATCAGTTGACTTTCAAAGGCAATAAATGGGGTAAAATGCCAACTAGGTAAGCTGCGATACCAGCTGTCAGCCACAAGAACAAGAAAAAAATCTCAGTTGATGGCTGGCACTGGACGAAGTATTCCACAGAACAGATCTGTCCTCAGAGAAAACATAACCCAGATCTATCAAACAACATCAGTTTATAAAGTACTCCCACCTGAAAAGTACTTTTCATGAAGTCACAAAAAATACTGGAAGAATTGTCCATATATTTCCCTTTTTTAAAGCATAGCCAAGGAATCC